AGCAGCAAGGGAGTTGGAAGGCTGTGAAACAAGTACTAAAGGAGCTGGAAGGCCATGATCTAGGAGTGAGCAGAGATGGAGCTGGTCTAAGGATGTGGAATGAGTGAGTGGGGAAGAACTGAATGTAGAGACTTATTAAACTTGTAAATTGCATATCACAAATGAGAGACTGTTTAAATTTAAACTATAATACCTAGACCTTGCAGTGTATTAACTAGCTCCATTGTTAAATTGTATAAATACAGAATTATAAACTCAAGTGTCTATTCTTGTTGATAGGATTAACACAGATAGCAATATCCAGCAAGCTGTTGCCTGTGGCTGATATTTCTGATTCAGAGGGGGTGCAGGAGATGATTTCAACAATGTAGTTCTGAATTAAAAAAGAATCAAGACACATTCTAATGTTTGTTACCATACTGACATAATCACTACACAAACCCTACAATCCTGTCACAATAAAGCCTGTAGTCCTTAAATTGTCAAGTGGCAGATTCAGATACAAGTTTATGGCAAAAATAAAACAAGCACTGATAATATGTATATGATAACTGTAACTAACTAGGCTTGTAGACACTCTTTTTACCTTATGTTTGCTATTCTGTAGCTTACATAATCAAGTTATTTTTTTACCAGTTTCCAATATGAGTCTAAGTCTTTGTAGTTTCCTCTCTCTCTGAGCCTTGAGCCTGGTACAGAAATCCTTTAAGATCAAACACTGTCTTCTAGACATAGCAGCTAGACAGTCAGACCCAACATTGTTTAGACTCACCATCAGAATTGTTGAACCTTCATTGGCTACATCAGACATGCATTTCTGCACTTCAGATATGCATTAGGAAGGTCCCTTATCTATCCATAATCCATCCTAACCCTATGGGTATGTATTTTCCTTACTTTAAGGCTTGTTGCAGCCTTATTACCTGTTCTTATATATTTACTATATTTCCTATCTCTTTCTTCTCCGAGAGAGATTTTAGATAGTATAAAATGACTATTTCTAGGATAGATCTAGGATTATTTTCCTCCTGCTGTATATTTTTGTACTATGTTTATCTTAAAAGTAGTCCTTAGTATTGTTCATACTTAGGACTCTCTTACCTTGCAATATATCTTTGCCCTCACTTGCTTTAAACTTTGTTTTTGACTCCTTATACCTAGTTCACATATTTCATACCCATATCTGTACTTTTCCGCACTTTCTGCACCTTTGGCCACATGTTCTCATGCTCTGGGTGGCCTCACATTCATTCATGAAGCCTCACATATACCTATCCATCATTTTCCAGTACTTAGTAAGTCTTGGGTCACATATATCCATCATCACTCCAGTGGCAATTTCCTTTAGAGTTGAACATGTCTATTATAGACATAGCAGCAAGGTATTGCATGACCCAACAATATTTTTCCTGCTGCTTAGCAAGATTGTTATTTAAATATTAACTTATATCATGTTCAATTGTTCTCAAATACTTCACTCAGTAAGACTTCTTCATATTTGACATTCATTGTGGACTCATAGTGACATAGGCTATTGCTTGCTATATTACATCTAACACCAACTTATCTGACTACAGATTGTGTTCAATGAACTGGCAGGTCTTACAAGACCTTGAAGTGATCCTTGAAATCAGTGTCTTTGTGTTTCAAAAATTGCTCGATCTTGTTGCTTTTTGAAATTTTGGACTTGATTGATTCAATCTTGAGAGCTGTCCCAAGGTTGTGGTTGATTGACTCAGTCTTATAGGCTGTCCCAATGTTAGGTTTAAGTTCTTCAGCCTTTAAGACCTGCCCAATGTCATGCTCTGTAGGCTCTACATTTGTAGGAACATTAGGCTATTTTATGTATGAGTACATTATATATCAATCAGAACGAATTAAATAGACTCACCACTTCAGCCATAATTTGCTCCTCTTGATAGTCAATTTGAATCATGTAGCATCTGCTGTAAGTGCTGCAAAACAGCCTGTCTCTGTATAGAGTCTTCAAGTGATCATTCTAATTCAATATGTCAGATACATATAAGGCAGACAAAGAAAAAAAAACTTACCAATATTTACACTCTAATGATTCAAGCCATCTTTCTCCTACTCATCATGTCTCTGTATGTTTCTGCTCTTGTTTTCATGAACATAGTGTAGATGTAGATGGAGATATGAAATGTATGTGATAGATGTGTGATGGACATATGAGAGGGACATGTGATGGACATTAATTAAATGGTGTGTTTGCTTATGTTATGTTGTGGACTCTGAATATTATGGAACTACTCCATATGCATACTGGTGTATTGTTTGTTGTGGACTCCACAATTTCTGTGACTCAATGACTTCTATATATGCACATGAACATATTGTGAATTGTAGATATTTTTGTTGTGTGGTTTTGCTACAGATATCTGAGATTGGCCACTGGCACAATAAATGATGAAAATGAGAGAGCTCAGGTGTCAAGCTTTTTGGATCACAGACCATGCCAGGGGTGGTTTTGGACTGTGCACTTCTACTTCTGCTGACAAAAACATACAGGGCAGCATTTCAAGAAAACTTTACTTTTATCGAAATTTTGTATTTGTACATAACTAATGTAATTATATGAAGTTCGAGGCTGATACCAATGCTTCAAGTGGGTTTCAAAAAGCAGCACATCGGACAGTGTTACAAGCAAAATGGACTAATATTTGATCAGACAATATACATAACACTAGTAACTACAGTATAACTCCATATGTAGATGTAGAAAAAGCTAGAACAACTGAAAGTAGACACAAACAAATGATTGTGCAGAGGATAGACACACTGCGAATAGTGGGCAATGACTTTGATCAGCATGGCTTGAGCTCAAATGTTTTAGATACTGCAGATGTTCTATAAAGGGTTAGATAATGTCAGGACAACTTTTCATAGTTATGTTTAAATTTTTTCAATGTGAAACATTTGATACTTAAAATTTAGTAAATCTATTCAAAAAGCTCTCAACTACATTTTTATTGCACTATATTATAGCTGAGACACATATGTTATAATATTTCAAGTTATAATTTTTTAGATTTTCCTCTTCCTCTTCCACATCATTTATCATACTCTCATTATCTGTATCTTCTTTTTCCTAATCTTATCTTCTTCATAAGCTACACATCTAATTCAGTTTCTCTATCCCCTTCAACTCATATCTTTTGGTATAAGAAGACTATCAGAAAGGATTCAGTTAGCCAATGGCTTTATAAAGTTGTTGATTTCATGAAAACTAAATGTAATTATGTTAGATACTGAAATACAAACATATTGGAAAAGAATTGTAAAAAAAATTATAATTATATTGTAAGATGATATAACTTCCAGTAATATAATTTGTGAGCTTGAATATACTGTTATTGACCATTAAACTCAAACAGAGAGAAATATCATTAAAGAAAGTAATTTTGTCGACAGTTTTAATTTCATGCTGGACCAAAAGGACTAAGAGGTTGTAAAGGAGCTTTGTGAGTATCCTTTCATTCTATGGCTGCAGCAAGCTGGGTTTCACTAGCAAATAGGTCAAATAGTACAAGATTTTGCTTATTTAAATAGTAGACTTAGAACTCACACTGTTAATGAACATGTACAAACTACAGAATTATTGAAATATAGCATATAATAGGTCTAATGTATATTAGGTAACTAGCTAAATATTTAAAAAATGTAAAATGAGCTATAGTTCTTTAGCTAAAATATTGCAGTAACTAGTAACAAGGGAAAGTAGGATATTGGTAGTATAAATATCAGTATGAAATCTATAGTGACATTGACAGAATATTTCATCATACACTACAGGAACAGATTCTATTGAAATAGCATAACTCTTTGGTTGGACTGGTTGTAAATTTCCTGGTCATTTATAGTGATCTGAACTAGCATCAGAAGCTGGCTCAAACTCTGAAGAGCTATCATCAGATTCATTAGGCAAAAAAATCTTTGTATCCATAGTTATATGATTGTGCCCCTATTTATTTCACTTCCTTTCTCTGTCTTCTGACTCAGTCTGCAGTTGCATATTCTCATTCATCTGTGACTCATATTGAATAAGTCGTGATATCTGGAAAAATACACGATTAGCTAATGTAAATTCTGTAAAGGGGATTAGTCAAAGATTCATCGAGAAAAAAAAAAAGGAATCCAAAGTCACATAACCCACGGTTGGAATTCTGCATTGTGCTGACACGTGCACCTAACTTAGGGTTCAGGATGCAAGTTGGCTGTGTTTTTTGGTGTTTCCACCAATGACGACCCAGGACGGAATTAGCTACAAGTACTACTAGCGTAATTGTAAAATAAATCCTCAAGTTTTGACAGCTATCAACCTGCTGCAACTTGAAATGTCAATTAATAATATTGGCAGACTCCTCAGGTGTTGACAGCGATTAACCTGCTGCAACTAATTTGAATTAAAATAAAATCATTATCTACCAGGTACCTAGTAATCTGTGTGTCATGCTTTGTACAAGGCGGCGGAAGCGCCAAAAAAATAACAATGGTTGCGGGTGCATCTGAGCCCAGGGAGGGAGCCTGCCCAGAAGTTTGAAATTTACAAAATTTACAAAATTTACTGTGTATTTCTCCTTCTTCCACACTTTACTCACTTTACCCTGCCAAAAACACACTTTACAGCACTTTACATTGACTTGACACGTCATACATTTACACTTCTACCTTACCCTCTTCTCTTTCTCTTGTCTCCCTCCCACTCATCCTACACAGTTACCATAAATGGGTGGCTTAGATACGTTGATCACGTGACTCTACTTCTTCACTCCATGCGCAGTGCTGCAGGCCTGTGGATGACAACAACCAACAATGCTTCCCTTGGATGAGAGGTATTTTAGTCATACTTTTTTTGTGATTCTTACTCATATTTTGCAGGGCTTCAGAATGTGATGTGGCACCAACGATGCTGCACTCACACTCACACCATTCATCCCACCCACCCAGTAGCGGCTCTGCTGTACTCACATCTCATCATCTTCTACACTTCCCTCACTTGCGCCCGTTTTGAGGAGCTGTGCATGGACCTGTTCTGCAGCACGCTCGAGCCTGTTGGCGGTTCTACGTGTATCCCCTGTATTGTCAAACTCGTATCTGACTTCTTCAACGGCAAGGAGCCCAACAAGAGCATCAACCCTGATGAGGCTGTTGCATACGGTGCTGCCGTTCAGGCTGCCATTCTTTCCAGCGACACCTCTGAGAAGACCCAGGACCTCCTGCTTCTCGATGTCGCTCCTCTATCGCTCGGTATTGAGACTGCTGGTGGTGTCATGACCGCCCTCATCAAACGCAACACCACTGTCCCCACCAAGAAGTCAGAGACATTCTCGACATACTCAGACAACCAGCCTGGTGTCTTGATCCAGGTGTACGAGGGTGGACATGCATGCACGAAGGACAACAACTTGCTCGGCAAGTTTGAGCTGTCTGGTATTCCTCCCGCACCTCGTGGTGTTCCTCAGATCGAGGTCACCTTCAACATCAATGCTAATGGTATCCTGAACATCTCCACATCTAACAAAACTACCAGCAAGTCAAATCACATCACTATTACCAATGACAAGGGTCATTTGTCTGCAGAGGAGATCGAGCGCATGGTTAGCGAGGCTGAGAAATACAAAGGTATGTTTCAACTCTTCTATATCACCATTAATAGACTAACCTTCATTGTAGCTGACGAGACCGCCGCCCCCTACAGCAGTCAGGTGACACCTGCACCCGGCCCCTTTCTTATTGCCCCCCTTTTGAATAATCTTTGTCCTTTCGTACTATCATCACGGATCAGCATGGGAATCCCTGGACTGTGGGAGGTGAGCTGAGAACTTTGGCTTTGGGTGAGGTGCTGATGCTCTTCGCAGCGAGTCGCTTTATCTGCGGACAATAGAACCCTCAACGAGCTTGCTTTGTCAGAGCTGAAGACCAAAGGCATTGACAACAACCGCAGTGTCAAATTGTTCACGATTGGGATTGATGCTAGGTATGTTACTTCTCTTCTTGTGTCCATCAGTTGAACTGACTTGTGTTGTTAGCGCATGGATGCACAGTGTGTGCGCCGTCTTTCACACCAATCATGCAGGCGCTGGAAAGTCACCAGAGCTGCGCACACTTTTTTTCCAACTAGTCACGCTGCTCAAGCTACCCTTGCACGCTGTGTTTGTCTTTGATGGCCTGCAGCGCCTACCAGACAAAGGTCAAAAGGCCAGAAGCAGCCCCCCACTGGCTTACGCATGACTTCCAGCGCATGCTGGAGCTGTTTGGCTTTCACTGGACACAGGTATGTTCTTTCCCTTAGCTTCCCTCATGGTGTTGTTGCCTCATCAGTCCACATCCAGGCTCCAAGTGAAGGTGAAGCCGAGCTCGCGGCCATGAATGCCCATGGTGTCATTGATGCTGTGATGACCGAGGATAGCAATATTTTGATATTTGGTGCTCCGTGCGTTATCCGAAGGTATGCCATCGTTTTCCCACTGAGGACGGCCTTGAACACGGCTGCTCCTTAACTTGAGGCGACAGACTTCTTATTGCACTGCTCATGGGTGGTGACTATGATGGAGGTGTGCCTGGTTGTGGTATTGGAATCGCTTACAAGGTGGCGCAGCATAGCAAATCAGCCAGATGATGCTCGACTCCTTCCTATCACTGACACCAGATGAATTCTTGGAGCGTGCCAAGGACCTTGTTGAGGACCTGCGTCTTCTGCTCACTCATGACCCTCACGATCTCCTCGAGCACAAGTACAAGGTAGTCGCGGATCATATTCCACATGATTTCCCGCAGCATTTGTTAATCAGCAAGTATGTCCATGCCCTCACGTCTTTTTCAGCAACTGGGAGTGGTACCATGATGCTGCAAGAGGATGTGTTATGCCGCCAGCCAGATCTTGCAGGCCTTGCCGATTTCTGCAGTCAGAATTTCGGCTGGGACGAAGACACCATTATTGAGAGAATGTACGGGGGTGTGTGGGAGGGCGCATATCTGCGCACATTATGCAAAGTAAGTCACTCTGTGTTTTGTCGGTCAGTTTTGACCAGTGTTTCAGTTGCCGAAACACTCAGCAGACCAGCCAAGCCTTCGGCCAACATCCCAAATCATTTCTCGCTTGACGCTTATGGCATTGAGATGAGATATCAAAATTTATGTTGTTAAAGTTGATTGTTGGCACTTGGGACGCAACACCTTGGGCAACACTACTCCCAGGCAATTCTATTCAATGTATGTGTGCGTCCCGACAGTCATACTTGGCCACATGGCACCAGAAGTAGCACAGCAGTATATTAGCCTATAATCCATGTCTACATAGCACCACATCTCATTAACATCGAAGCTTGGTATGAAAAAACACAAGACTAGTCACAGGCCCCTAAGTAAAATTTGAACTAGCTGTGACATACTACTATCTAGCAGGTTTGCTTTCACAAACATGGTGCACCTGAAGAAAAGCTCACCAAAAGCCCCCCAGCCACCAGGCACCGCACAAAAAACTAGGCAAAAGAAGACAATGGTGCACACAAAGACAGCCCTATCAGATGTTCAAAAGTGTAAGCAAAATGGAATAGAGACTCACCTGCAGGCAACCAACACACAAAATAATTATGCCGGACATGTTCGTTGTGGACGGGAGTGGCTGGAAAGCCATTTTGATCACTTGGAGTCCGAGTTCACTGTTGGTGAAGATGTGAATGACTCAGACATGTACAATGATCCAGTGTTCAAGGACGCATTCAGTCACATACCGAATAGGTGCTCGGACAAGGCATTGGCGCTCTTCATGTCATTGAAAGGGTTCCATCAGAACCTCAGCAAAACAACCGTGGAGAGCATTCGATTGGCATTTAAGGAAATGTGGGAGCTGTCGTGAGTCTTATTATATCAATGAAGGGTATGAGGACTGACTTACTGTGTCCCAGCGATGGTGACAGATATTGTGGAAAGTGGCACCTCAATGAGGCAAGACAATGTTGGGAAGGCAACCCTGCCAAGTCGGCAGAGATTTTTGACGTGTTGTCATCTGTCAAGCACAAGGCCAGTGCCGAAGGTGGAGATCGGACTCATTTGATGGCCATGACAAAGGATTACATGGAGCGCACACTCCGGTGGCATTACGCAGTGTGTCCACTGGATATAGCACTGGGGACCATTCAGAAGGTGATGAGCAGTGCTCACCCTTTGGATGTGAATCTGGACTTGGAAACAAGGAAAGTACTTACTCGTCATGTCAAACAAATTGCGTTCGAAGCTGGCGCATGGATGTTATGGACACGGTATGATTTAATTTGTGACTCACGCTAATATCTGACTGACTATATTTGCAGATGTTTTGAGCTTGTCAAATTACAGCGAAAGGATATCTCACTGGATACTACCATGCTGGATGGTGTCCTCAAAGCATACCTTGAAAACGATACATCAACGCTGCAGAGCAGCTCTCAGTTATACTTTGAGATTTTTCTCTCAAACCAGAAAGGATGGCAGAAGAAGGTTGACAAAGGTCAGTGGGAAGCAGACTTGAGATGTAAGTCCAAAACCCGTCATGTGAATGATGTGCGACTACTAATTACAACAACCTCACCAGCAAACCATTACAAAATATATCCACGTCCCAGCATTCCAGCCTGTGACTGCTTTGTTTGGATGTTAGTCTGGATTAAATGGCTCAAGCTCTTTCATTACAGATGCACACTTCAGCCCAACAACTTTATCTTTCCCGCAATGGGCGCCAATGGTGTTGTTCAGCCCGGCCAGCCAATCTCGCATGATACAGTGCAAAAGTGGATAAATGAGTCGACAGCAGGCACCGGCATTCTTGATAATTTTTCAACTCATTGCTTTCATTGTGGGGCCGTGCAATACTGGTTCATGTTTGCTCCAGTGGGCCAGTGGTGGATGCTTGCGAAAGTTCGCTGGTGGGGTGGATGGGCAGAGGGCGAGCATGTGCGTGTTTTGTTTTATTCACACTAATAACACTGATTTCGTCTCATTTTCAGCGTGATACACTCATTTGCTATCTACTCGATGAATTGCATGCCTATGAAACTGACTATAGCAATGCCCTTGCACCCATCTCCCGTGGTGCAAACAACTCACTTGCTGGAGAAAACATTCTTGTGAGTCCGGCGTCGACAGAAGAGTTGCGCTTGGTCCATGCATCTGTCACAGCAGACGTCGACCGCCTGCGCAATGACATCGGATCCGTCAACAACTCACTCCACTCACTAACGAATGTGGTGGTGCAGGCCACCTGCACCACAGCAACTGCTTTTCAACATCTTGACTCCTCTCAGCGCTTTGCTGTCATTCCCGGCTCCGAGTCACGCACCTCCCACACACCATCTTTAAGTCCAAGTCCAACATACTATGTTCTGCCTCAGAGTCTTCAAGTTGGAGGACTTGGAGGACATCCTGTAGCTGCAACACACTCACCTTCATCTAGTTCCACTGGCATCACTGGCACCAGCAAGAACCATGGTGCTGTTGCATCCAAATGACTTGGACTTGGACATCCGGGATCTACTAGTACTCTCCCATCCACCCGCACTACTTTACAGCGTCTCCCCACCCACGGCCTTGTGATCCCACAGGTGCCATTTGCATGCGCAAATGGCACAACCAGCCCAAAGAACAGGTCCTGGAAGGACATTGTTGAACACTGGCTCGTTGACGATCCCAACAGGGGACTGAAGACGCTACTGAAGGACTGGCCAAAGGAGTGGTACCAGGGCATCAATCGACAGTTCGCATCAAAATACCATCAAAGGTCGACCATAGCACTGGAATTCATCAACAAGTGAGTTCGCACTGATATCCACTCCATTCGCACTGCTCACCATCCTTTTTTTCGGCTCCAGGTATGATTTGAATGAGACATGATTCCTCGCAGCTTATCCAGATGCTGAGCTGGGGCACACGCAGCTGCTCAAGGCTATTAACCAGGCACGCACTGCACAAGGGGAGTACATTTTGCGCAGAAAGTAATGGCAGCCCTTCCATTTTTAATATTCAACAGTCGCTACTACTGATCTACTTGTACCATACTCTCTACCATACTATAGCTACCCATCTCACATGTCGTCGTCGTTCTAATTCAGTGCACCTTGTTTTTTTCAGTCAAAACTCATGCTGTGACGCTAACCCTGGTCATGTGCCAGCGAGGTTGCAGAACCTCATCCAAAAAAGGTAAGTGATCGGTCTCACATGACTTCGCTTGGCCCTTTGGCTGAGCGCCACCGTAAATTTCTCGACATAAGTACCTTCTTTTGGTATTACCCTTTGACCATTCCTCTTTTTGGCAGTATGAGTTATCACCTATTAATCTGCATTGTCTAAACTTGCTGTCATATATTTAGGAAGTTTATCCTATGTGATCTCTTGTTGTTGGCCTTCTTCCCATTAACTCTTTGTTTGAGTTCATCTCATAATAAACCTCCTGCTTTGTGTGCTCTTTGGGCTATGACCATTATTGCTATGCATCTGATTAGTTCTGGTGGCACTCTCTATATTACTCCTGCTGCTAGCATTTTGTTCACTCTCTCATTGTAGAATCATGCTTGTTCTGGTGTCATCAGCTGTTGGTACATACACAGATTGAAGACTGCATTATCTGGACCATTTAGGTTCAGCTCTACTCCTGGTATTGGGATTACTTCCTCCAATTCTAACACAAAGTCGTCTGTGTTCTCCCTCACTAGTTGTTTTAACTTTTCTTGTTCTTCCTTTGTCAAGTCATTTCCAAAGGTTATTTATTGTAAGATCTCCTTAACTCTTCCTGGGTTGAACATACATTTGCTATCCTTGAAAATATTTAACTGGACTACCTAAGCACCTAAGCAACAAATGTATGTAGCTATATAACAATAATGAATAACAGAGCAACAACAAAATGATAATGACGAAACAACAACAATAACAACAGCAAGATGAGATGACAATAACGAGACATGCAATGATGTAAGGCATCTCAAGCACCAATAAATGTGCTTCATGGACTCAGATATCTATCTCACAAAAGCCACTTGTATTTCTTCATGTCCTGACTATGTTCCCTCTTTGTATTGAGCTTTGCAAAGAAGCATTTGTGATTGCTGTCATGGAGGAACATGGCATCAGAGTACATACTCTGGATCTTATCTTTCACCTTGTCTATCTGTTCCATCATGTCCAATTTTGCTTTTTTCTTCTTGAAAGTACTGTTACTAGTTGAAAGTGATGTCTGGAGAGTCAGGAACATGGAGTAGTCTGATGCTGAGGTGATATTTCATATTATTAAGGTCTCTATCATTGACACTGCTGCCACAATTGGCAGCATTCTTCATCTGTTTGGAATGCAATAATTTGGTGAGCATCTCACACATGATTATCTCACCTTCTGGTAGGGCATTATAAGCTGCTTCAAATGACTTCTCATCCTTAGGTCTTGGTGAGCATGAGCACCTGTCTTCTGTGACACAATTCATCAACCGCAGCATCAATGTTCGCCTATTATTCCAAATTATCTTCACGATCTGGTTGCAGGAACATCACTATGCAAGTACAATGAATGAACCATCATAGTGACTTACCTCCCTGTTGGCAATACCACTATGAGGAGGGAAGCGAGAGTCCTTGATGATGTTGTCAAACATTACAGAGGAATAGTCATCCATCTGGTGCAACTTCATATGCAGCATCCTGAAATGGTCGACAAGTGGTTTGAACCATCGACACACCTAAATGATTATACACAGTAAGTCTGTCGCATATGATTCATAAGTACAAATGATATACTTACCTCAACAATTCCTTCCTGCATCTTCATAAACGACGACCATGTGTATGCCATTATGAATCCTCCAAGTCACAGCTCAGGGACAATGCCAGTGCCAGCAAAGTGAGGTGTGAGATGAAGCATTATGCAGGCAACAACTCAATCGAGTTGGACCAATATCTCATTTTCTTCATGATCGCTGTCTGAGGTTAGTCCCCACATCTGTCACAGGGTATTGATGACATTCCCTTGATAGACACTTAGAGTGGTTATATTCTGCATCGACAATTCTCCAATGTCTTCCACATCATCTGAAAATGCTTCTACAGCATGCTCGTTGAGCGGTCCTAACACTTTGCTCCATATTGACATATTGCCTTCATCTTCGCTCTTTCTGTGCTTCTGGATTGACTTGTGTAACTCACTGATGCACTGTTTGGCTTCTGCATTGGATTCCTCCAATAGGCATGTGATGGTCAAATAAGTAGGAAAGTCCTTCTTTGATACCATGTTCTTCAAAATAGTGATGTTCATCTGTATCCATCCCAGATATATCTATGTTCAAACATCAGGCAAGTAAATAGTGTTGATACAACATTCAAAATATTTACTTATGCCCATGCAAACATCTATCACCTTTGCAAGCCATGTGATGGAGAATTCACATCAATATCAGATGTGAGGTCCCAATGGCCAGAGACAGGTAGCTAGAGAGCAACATAGAGTGTCCTGGTGAAGCACTTTGTGTAAATGTGCATTCTTCTCATGTGTCGATCAAATCCTCGCTAGATACTCTTTCACAGCAGGGATACATTTTTTGTCGTCTGCTGTCTCATAGACCGTCTTGATCTTCTTCAGAATCGTTACCAGATGCAGTAAGCTATTCTGGCTGGCATGAATGGTGATCTCATCGCCTCCAGCAAGTAGCTTATCTGTAAGTACAATGTGTTAACAATGATAAAACCTCTATAACATGACACTGTGGCTACGTGTCACCAGGGCGTAGATATCCTAACATCATCTTTCGACAGTGCTCAAATGCACACTGGTGGAATGCCATACCAGTGTGTGGGGATTGTATGTACCTTTGTCATATATGACTACACCCCACCTCCCTGTCCTCTCCAAGAAACCCTTAATGAGACCCATCTCCTCCTGCATCTTGTTGAAACTCTTGATGTGGTCTTCTGTATGGCCTTTGAGGCTGATGATTCTCTCTTGCTTTGTCTCCAATGTATTGTACTGATTTTGTAGGGTTTGCGTGTATCATTTCAGAGTAGCGAGATGGTGCTGTCTCAATGCAATGACAATCTTGTTATTGTCCTTGAGTTCGAGCTCCTTCACTAAGTCTGGTGTAGAGCCTCACGTCTCCACAGGCACTTCCCTCTGAATTCCCCCAGTTTCCCTACAAACTCCAGCTCTAATTCACAGGATACGTCTAGTGCATCAGCGCACTTATATTTTATTTTGCAGGTTTTGTGTGTGGCCTCGCGGGTTTACGCACTTTGCACATCCACACTTGCATTGTCCACACACCTGTCCGTCCATCCATTCCATGTCCTTAGAAGTTCATTGGTGCATTTTCCCAATATATTTCCTTTTCGTCTAATTGGTTTCCATTGCTAATACTCGGCTCTGCACTTTGCGTGTAACCAAGACCCTATTACATACCTCACATACTATTTATAACCTGTTCAGCTCATCATATCGGACCTGCACGCCTAGCGCCACTTAGTTACCTTACTTATACCCCTCTATTATTTATGTACTGGGTCGATTTTCTGCCCACTTTCTCTGTGTCCTTATATACTAGGAATTTTACTCGTTGTTTGCCAGTGACTATCCAAAGTCGCGTGCTTCAGTCTTCTGTGTTCACATTAGCATCAGCCAACCTTAGTTGGGGTGTCAAAACTTGTCTCGCCTCATCTCTCCTTTGTCTCTCTTGTTCACTAATCTCTTGCCTTTGCTCGTGCGCGTTACCTTTGCATCACGTACCTCGCCTTTCGCCTTTCGCACTTGTGTGTCTGCCTTTCGTTTACTGCATCATTTCCGCCTCACGCTTCGCGCATCTGTAGTCCTAGTACCCTATTAGTTGTTTGGTGTCCCTCTTTTTACAAAAAGAGGTTTCCCTTTACCAGTTAGCTGCCCTTGGGTCGACAATTTCACTTGCACCTGGGACTAGCTGTGTTTGCTTAGCTTAGCACCAACTTACCACACAGTTTAGATTCCTCATCTTCACCAGGTCATCAAAATTATTGGTGAGTGACTCAATATTCATGAGGCATTTCATGTCCAGGATGATACAGATCACCGACTTGTTGTTCATAGATACAATGCCTGACCATTCATATGATTCCACTAACTTTGTCATTTCAGCATCGTTTTCTGGCTGATCATTGTACACCCTGAATTTCAGGTGATGTCCAATGGCAAGGAGATTGATCCACGGTACACCGACTTTGCATTTTGTGAGTTGCATATCAAGTTTTTGTGTTTCCTTGGTCCAGTGTAGCGATGGTTGCAGCATTGGGCTCGAAACCATGTATTTTCATACTCACGTCAACACCTGAAACATATGCGCACATGTCTGATGCACTTTCACACATATCCGAGCCACTCCGTATCAGATCTGGCACATCGGACCTTCAGACATCGCATCAGCCAATCGCACTTCGCGCGCACTTATCCATCCTGTCTCCTGTCCATCCGAACTAGCCTCACTAGGTGCATAGTTATTTCCGTGCATGTTATCTGACATTCGGACCGCATTATTACATGTCTGCAGCACCTCGTGTCTTATTACATAGGACATCGGACCCAAAATATATTGCTACTATCTTCGCCTGTAGTATTCCGGATTTCTATGTACTTACTTAAATACTCTGTAGTGACCTGTAGCATTCATCATCCAGTAGTTAGGAGCTGTTTCCCAACTCTGTGGATCACCCAGAATATTCTTGTAGTTCTTAGTTGCATTGCGAAATATTACCATTTGTTCACTGTCATACTCTGTCACTTGTTATACTCGTGCATACCGCTCGCAATCCGACACTCGTTATAAAGTTTCTGACCTATTATCGTGAAGTCTGAAAGTCCGAAATCTCGGACATCGCACTTTGGCTTCGGACATCATTTTGCAATATCGGACATTCAGTTCTTTGCATTACTGACACATTTTTACTACTAATACCAATTAGCAATCCCTTTAAGATCAAACACACTTGCTCTGCAAGTATAGCAGCACAGGTTGTGCTAAGATCTACCTAAACATTGTTGACTAGGTAGTACAATTTCTGCTGAGCTCAGTGGAGATTTACACTTTACACTGGTCAATTTCTGGTGCTTGCGCCTTGATGGGCTGTGTATTCAATGGTAAGTGTGATGCGCCATCACCCTGATCAACCACATTCTTGTAACAGTAAATTTCTTAATGATATCTCTTATATATATCTTTTGGACTTACCACAGTATATCCTCCTCCCTCCCTTCCTTCCTTCCCTCTCCGCCTCCCTCTCCCGTTGTTTTTGCTTGTTTTGGGGCCACTCTAACATGAGTTTTTGCTGTTGTATATAACAATGTGATGGTATCTAACTAAGATTTGCCTCTATCTGGTTCCCTTGCAATGCTTTGCCCTTGACCCTTTACAGTCTGCTGTTGCCTCATGTTCACTTGATGTCCACAAATATCACGTGGTGTTGTCACATGATGTTCATATTACAGCTGTCTTGATATTGCAAGTCTTATTGCAGTATCATTTAGTATTTAGTATGTATATTTACATGTATATTACTTATATTGTATCATATCTTTCTATAATATTTAAATGTAACTGACATCCTTGATTCAATTACATGGACAGAGAGCCAGCTATCATAATATTGTAGGAGCAAATGATAACCTGCATATATACATACTAAGTACTAAATAATACTGTAATAAGATTTGCAATAGCTGCTGTGATGAAGTGTTATAAGCGACGCCCTCACAATGCTTTCCATCGGTGTCTGTATCACATCCTGACACTTCTATCTTCACCATATAGCCATATATCAATTAATGTTAAAGATATCCTAATTATATAGGAGACATAACATAGTTACATTTTATAACTAATGTACATGCATGTATATAATGGTCTGCCTATAGAATGTATTCCATCAGCATCCATATAGCCATATACACAGTATAATTTAGTACATATCTGAGACGCACACCAATATTTTATGTTCCATCTGTGTGCATATATCCATATACACTAAATAATTTAGTACATGCACGTGTATTACATATCTGATACACATGCTGATATTTTACGTTCCATCCATGTGCATACCACATATTTACAATGCACATGCTATTTATTGGAGGTGGTTCAGATATTTGTTGTTATAATTCATGTTGGATATACCCTATAATTCTATTGATATTATACATATTGTTATAGGAGAGCTGTCATACTTACATTTTTGACCCCTGGGGGGTAACGAAACCACATATTTAACCTAACCTATTTACAAATATCCTATATAATGTCCCTCAACATTGACATCAGAATCACGAATAAACCAGAAGAACTGCAGCTGGAAGACACCGCAGCGGAGGAGGAATTAAAGGTACTCAGACGGGTCAGTGATTGAAGGAGGCATAGGAGCAGCAGCAGTGCTCATGGAAGGGGATAGAATGATCGAAGAGAGAGGATTTCACTTGGAGAAGGTTGAAGAGCATATGGTGTATGAAGCAGAGGTGGTGGGAATGGTCCTGGTGGTGTAGATCCTAAGGAAGAAGATTGGGAAAAGGGAAAGGGAAATTCCCACAGTGGCTTTTGGGGTAGATAGTCAAGTGGTGATACGCACAACGGGAACCTTTCATTCAAAACCAGGCCACCACCTGGTCAACACCTTTCATGATGACCTCTGCCATATCCTACCAAAGAATAATGATGAGAAATTGACCATCAGGTGGACAGGGATCCCCAGGAAATGACGAAGTAGATGAAGAGGCAAACAGAGCCACTAGATGAGGAAGCTCTGCATCCTACAGACTCTCCCCCTCTCTACCCCATAGCAAATTCAAACAGGCATTCCATAACACTATTAAGCAAGAAACAATGTCAGTCGCCCAAAAGTCACCCAGATACGCCAGATTCAAGGACTTAGGATATAGATCCCTCGTTCCCCTCCAACCGTTTTGTGAAGACTGCAGACACACTCTCCAGATGGCATGCAGCATTGATACAGCAACACACCAGACACATCCACTTGAACAAACACCTGCATCGCATCTCGAAATCTCCCTCCTTGCTCTGCCCATCTTGCAACAAACAACAGGAATCGGACCACCACTATATCCTTGCCTGCCCAATGTACACTAAACAACACAACATCATGAGAATGGAACTAGGCCCCAAAGTACAGCAACTCAAGTACCTTTTGAATGACATAAAAGGTATCAAAGCACTGCTCAAGTACATCACATGCACCCGACACCTAGCAAACACCTTCAGAGACACACTTCCCTGGTAAAACCTTCTCAAGCAACAGCTGAAGCATGAGGCTCAAGCTCTGTGGCTAGCATTTGTCGAGCATTATTTTGGTAATTGGATGATATCACAGTCCGTGATAGTTGACATGGCTTTGAAGGGTGGGGATTTCAATTGTGGCAAGCCATCTATTTAGTTCGGGAGGCAATGGAGTCTGATGAGAGGATGATGCTGAATGAGGCAAAGACGCCCCTGCATGAAGTAAATGGGTAAGCAATTCTAGATAGTACAGTAGTTACAGAGGAGGGAATGTAAACGTAGTGAGTAAATTCTTCGTGCGGCACTAAAATATGTTGTGAAAACAGGCCCATTACATAGCAGAATAAATGAGGTGCAAGAAGGCAAACTTGTATCATATGCAATGTACATATATCTTCAGCCAATCAATGTAGGTACATGCCAAAAGTGGGACTGGCAAGGTTTTTTTTTCTTCAAAAAGTGGGACTACCATGAACACAATATAATCTAGTGCTACTGTGCCCAACACTTGTGCCATGACGTACCATGTATGACACTACTCAAGTCCAGCTGCAGAGCATTGTTTGGTATCACCAGCTTGGTGCCTGGGCTATACATTGCGGACAGCTATAAAGCAAGCGGAATCCAGAAGAGAAGCCATCCT